CATCTCAGCTCACTGCAACCTCTCTCCCCGCCAGGTTCAAGCCATTGCTGTACATCAGCCTCCTGAGGAGCTGAGATTACGGGTGTGTCACACCACACCCAGCTAATTTTTCTATTTTTAATAGAGATGAGATTTTGCCACGGTGGCCAGGGTGATCTTGAACTCCTGACCTCAAGTGATCCACCCACCTCCACCTCCCAAAGAGCTGGGATTACAAGCATGAATCACAGCTTCTGGTCAGCAATTTCTTTTTTAAGAAAAAGGCCTGCTTCTTCCCATCAAAAAGTGGGTGAAGGACATGAGTAGATACTCCTCAAAAGAAGATCTATGAATGACCACCAAGCATATGAAAAAATGCTCAACACCACTAATCACCAGGGAAACGCAAATCAAAACCACAGTGAGATACAGAATGTACCCCAGTCAGAATGACCATTGTTAAAAGCCAAAGAAACAAATAGAGGTTGGCATGGATGCGGTGAAAAGGAAAGGTCTATACGTTGCTGGCAGGAAACAAACCGTAAATCAGTACAACCTCTATGGAAAACAGTATGGAGATCGCTCAAAGAACTCAAGGTAGACCTGCCATTAGATCCCGCAATCCCACTACGAGATGTATCGAAAGAAAACAAGTCACCGTATGGGCCGGGCATAGTGGCTCATGCCTGGAATCTCAGCACTTTGGGAGGCCGAGGCAGGTGGATCACTTGAGGTCCCAAGTTTGAGACCAGCCTGGCCAGCATGGTGAAACCCCATCTCTACTAAAAATACAAAAATTAGCCAGGCGTGGTGGTGGGCGCCTGTAATTCCAGCTACTTGGGAGGCTGGGGCAGGAGAATCGCTTGAACCCAGGAGGCAGAAGTTGCAGTGAGCTGAGATCTCGCCACTGCATTCCAGCCTGGGTGACAGGGCAAGACTCTGTCTTCCCCCAGAAAAACACATATTGGGTACAATATACACTACTGGGGTGAATGGTACACTGAAATCTCAGACTTCACCACTATACAATGCATCCACGTAACCAAAAACAACTTGTACCTCAAAGCTATTGAAATATACATGTATACACACACACACACACACACACACACACACAATAAACAATAGGCTGGATGTGATGGCTCATGCCTATAATCCCAGCACTTTGGGTGGCTGAGGCAGGTGGATCACCTGAAGTTCAAGACCGGCCTGGCCAACTTGGTGAAATCCTGTCTCTAATAAAAATACAAAAATTAACTGGATGTGGTAGCAAGCACCTGTAATCCCAGCTACTCGCAAAGCTGAGGCAGGAGAATTGCTTGAATCCGAGAGGTGGAGGTTGCAGTGAGCTGAGATTGCACCACTGCTCTCCAGCTTGGGCGACAGAGCGAGACTGTCTCAAAAAAAAAAAAAATCTCTCGAGACGAGGACAAGAGTGGGATGGTGATGGAAATGATGGATGGGGACAGCCCTAGACAGGGATGGGGAGGGTAGAGGGATACCTGCCGTGGACAGATGACTGAGTGCCCAAGTCTTGGTGACCCCCGTGCTGGGTGTGGGGGTCAGAGGGCAGCTGTGACATCAGAAAAGGGCTGGACCAACAGACAGGACATTATGTTTTGTTGACACACAATATAACCAGGTGAGCTGCAAGACGAGAGGGTGTGTCTGCCAGGAAGGGCCAGGCTGAGGCCGTTACAGCTCTGTCTCTAGGACCACACCCTTCCCTGGCATCCCCATCCCCGTGATCTGAGTGGGGGAGTTCAGTCAGGCTCTGGGTCCCCAGAGAGAGGACATGGAAAGGGTCAGAGGCTGCTCAAAGCTGGCCAGGGCCCCAGAGGATAGCCGATGCCAGGCACAGAGACAGAGGAGCCACAGAATCCTCGAGAGCAGGAACAGGGTCTGAAAGGTCCCATTCTGCAGAGGCGGAGACTTCGATTAGGGATGAAATAAGCAACAACACGCAGGATGTGGAGAGAGCAGGAGGGGGCCAAGGAGAGGCAGCGAGAAGAAAAAAGAGAAGAGAGGGGAAAGGAAGGGGCTAGAAGAAACTAGGAAGAGGGAAGGGAGAGCAGTGAGAAAGGAGGGAGCCATATGCAGTGGCTCACCCCTGTAATCCCAGCACTTTGGGAGGCCAAAGTGGGAGGATCACCTGAGGTTAAAAGTTCGAGACCAGCCTGGTTAACATGGTGAAACCCCATCTCTACTAAAAATATACAAAAATTAACTGGGCACAGTGGTGCGCACCTGTAATCCCAGCTATTCTAGAGCCCGAGGCAGGAGAATCGCTTGAACCTGGGAGGTAGAGGTTTCAGTGAGCAGAGATCTCGCCACTGCACTCCAGCCTGGGTGTCAGGGTGAGGCTCTGTCTCAAAAAAAAGGAGGAGAGACGGGGGAAGGAGGTTGGGAGGAAAACAGAAGATCAGCGTCTAAGACGCCGTCACTAGAGATACATCAACAAGGGTCTGGGAGGCACAGAAAGTGCAAGGAAGGGAGTGTTTTCATTACGACGAATGGGCTGCAGGTCTGGGTGACATCGCCACAGGGTGACATGTGGAGGGGCAGGGACCCTGAGGTCTGTGGGTCCAGTTTCTGCCTTGATTCCCCTCCGTCCTTTCTGGGGGCAGGTGAGGTGCAGAGGGAGCTCCCGGGGGGTGCCCAGAGTCATCCCTCCTGCCCTGAGCCCCTGGGTCCCCATGGCCATGAAGCCCAAAGCGGCTGAGCTGGAATGATCCCTAGAGGTCCTAATGCCTTGTCTTTTGGGGGATAAACTGAGGCAGAAGATGAACTGACCGGCCCCAGGGTGCACAGCTGGTTCATGGCAGGATTAGAATCTGGGGCTCCTGAAGATCATGCCACTGTACTCCAGCCTGAACCACAGAGCAAGACCGGCCCATTTTGTGCCCATCTGGCTATATCCCGAGGCACACAGCAGGACATGCCAGTGTGGGAGGTCACCAGGGAATTCGTGAGAACATTCAGTAGGTAAGGACAGACCCTGATATGGGTTGAGCATCAGTCTTGTGCCAGAAATCATGCGGGGGGTGGGGGGCTCTTTTTAATCCTAGCAGCAGCCCTGAAAAGTAGGTATTATTCTTGCTTTCCAGAGAGGAAACTGAGGCTCAGAAGGGGACACTAAGGCTCAGAGACACTCAACTGGAGGAGGCTCTGATGACCCAGCTCTTCCTCCAAAGCTCTCTGGGGAGAGGAGTCCAAGAGGTGGGCACAGGGCTGACTGAGCTCCAAGCAGTGGGCATGCCCCTATTGGTGCCCTGGAGGCAGCCCTCCCTCACTGATGGGCAGACAGAGCAGGCTGTCCTCCAGGATGGGGGCCTCAAGGGCAGCAGGGTATGGGGGTCACTCACCCTGCGCTGTGGTGGTAGCTTGTAGGAGCAGGACGGGGAGGACCAAAGTGAGCAGACACAGCGCCACGGTCCCCAGCCTCGGCATCGGAGCTCAGAGCTCGGAGCTCAGAGTGTGTCTCACCCGCCCGTCACTGCCGGAGGAGCTGGTGAAATGAGCCTCAGCCAAGGAAGCTCAGAAATAAATGGGCCCCGGGGACCTTTGATCCCTGAGACACTGGAGACCTGGGACCAGCCTGAGCCTGAGTCAGTCTGGAAGCTTCCCTCATGCCTCAGGTTGCGGGGCCTGTTTCAGGCCAAAGGGCAGAGGGAGAGGGTGCCTCTCCCTGGCCAGGCAGCCCATAGGCATGAGGGTAACCAGCTTTATCACCCCAACAGAGAGGCAGCCCGGGGGGCCTGCAGGAGGTGGGGGGTCCTGATGAGACCCCGCCCCCAACCGAGGGAGGTGGGAGATGGGCAAGAGGGGCCAGGCCTGAGCCAGGAAAAGAAGAGGGCACCGCCTGCATTTGACCCTGACCCCTAGCAGGGACACCCCCTTTGTCTCTATTTTTTTTTTTTTTTTTTTTTTTTTTGAGATGGAGTCTTGCTCTGTTGCCAGGCTGGAGTGCAGTGACGTGACCTGGGCTCACCACAACCTCTGCCTCCCGGGTTCAAGCAGTTCTCCTGCCGCCTGCCTCAGCCTCCCAAGTAGCTGGGACTACAGGTGCATGCCACCACACCTGGCTAACTTGTATTTTTAAGTGGAGATGTATTTTTAAGTGTATTTTAAGTGGAGATGGGGTTTCACCATGTTGGCCAACCATGGTAATCCCATGTTGGTCTCCATCTCTTGACCTCATGATCCGCCCACCTCGGCCTTCCAAAGTGCTGGGATTACAGGTGTGAGCCACCGTGCCCGGCCTCCCTTTGTCTCTTTTCTCACCCTTATCATTGGCCAGGTATGGTGGCTCACGCCTGTAATCCCAGCACTCTGAGAAGCCGACATGGGTGGATCACTTGAGGTCAGGAGTTTGAGACCAGCCTGGCCAACATGATAAAACCCCATCTCTACTAAAAGTACAGAAATCAGCCAGGCGTGGTGGTGCCTACCTGCAACCCCATTTACTCGGGAGGCGGAGGCAGGAGAATCGCTGGAACCTGGGAGGTGGAGGTTGCAGCGAGCCCAATTCATGCCACTGTACTCCAGCCCAGGCAACCGAGCAAGACTCTGTCTCAGAAAAAAAATACATGAATAGCCCTTTGTAGTGTCCTGTGAGTATGCCACGAAGAAATGGCCATGCCTGGGCCGGGAGTTCTTGGATCTGGTCTGGGGGTTCTGAGGTCGGCGAGGCTCCCAGGACCATCTGGAGTGACCCCGCCCTAGTCACTCAGCAGAGCCAAGTGCTCACTCCTTGGCCAGCTGGGGTTGAGCCTGAGGTCCCCTCCCGTCCTCAGAACCTGACCCTAGCTGTTTCTGCCACAGGGACCTCAGCAGAGGCGGGCCTAGCCCTGTCCTGGCTGGAGCAGGGAAGGGGGCTCCCTGCCCGGACACCAGAAGGGGCTGAATCGATGCCCGGATTTAGCAGCCAGCCCTGGAAGGAATGCCCATCCCAGGAGGACTCTACCCACAACCCGACTCCCCAACCGCAGAAAGAAGGAAAGGAAACCTCTCACTTCACATTCTGAGCTTTAAGATTTGCTTTTATTGGTAGGGAAATTCCAGAATGGGGAGCCACCGAGAAGCAGCGGAGGTTTCTGGATGGAAGGGCTCACAGCCCTCCACTTCCCCAGCAGGCGTGCAGGCAAGGGACCAGCCCAGTCTGTCAGCTCAGAGCAGGACCAGCTTCAGGGCCTCATTTTGGTCTCCCCTTGACCAACGCCAGAGGTCTCTGGTGGGCTCTGCTGCTCTCCTGTCCAGAGATAGATGAGGGTGGGAGGCCCCCACTGGCTCACAGAGTGGAGACCACCGCCTTTGGCCTCTGGATGTGGAGCTGGGGGGCAGGAGAGAAGAGGTGAGGCCAAGGGGGAGACCTTTCCCAGGGAAAAGGGAGCCCCAGGGGGAGGAGGGGGCCCCAGGAGAAGGAGGAGGGAACCTGGGGGTAGGGGGAAAAGGCAATCCGGAGGAGGAAGGAAGGGAGTCCCAGGGGGAGGGAGGGAGTTCCAGGGGGAGGGAGGGAGTTCCAGGGGGAGGGAGGGTTTCCCGGGGGAGGGAGGGAGTATCAGAGAGAGGGAGGAAGTCCCAGGGGGGAAGAGGGAACCCCAGAGGAAGTGGGGCAGCCTCAGGAGATGGGGGCAGCTTGCAGCCGAGTCACATCTGCGTTGGAGTGGACATTCTCCGGGGTGGGCCTGAAGTTGCTGTAGGCGTTCTCAAGGACGTATCTGCTCTCCATCAGATTCTGGTCTGTAGGGAGAGGCGGTGCTGAGTGATGGGAGCCTTGCTGGCGGAGGGGGTGGGGGGGGAACTCGGGGACAGAGGGCATTTCTTACAGCAAAAGGAGCTCACAGGAAGAGTCAGCCCAGCATCTGCCCTCCACCCTTTCCCACTGCCAACCACCCCTTCGCCCCTGCATCACTGGGCTGCGGGAAGTGCCAAGCCTGGCCCACTGGACCCCCAAACAGGAGGGGGCGGAGCAGAAGCCCCCCACATGTATGGGGTGGAAGCCAGGGCCACGGAGGAGCATGAGTGCAGCCACGGGGCGCGGCACTGAGGTCAGGGTGGATGGGAGGCAGGGCTGGGCTCCCCCATAGCAACAGTAACCACAGCAGGCAGAACAGCTGAGCCCGCAATCTTCCAGCATCCTCCCAGAGCCCATCGATCACTTCCTGGGCCCGCAAAAACACCTACTCTCTCTAGACTGGGCTCTCCCTGCACCTCTGACTTCTCCTTTGCTGCCTCCTTCGAGGTCAGGACCCTCACGCCCCACCTGTCCATCCGCAGTGGTTCCCCACGGGGTTCCCCTTTAACCTTCCTTCTTCTCACTCCGCATTCTCCCGGATGAAAGGACAAACCTCTTACCCGGTCTGTGGTTCAGGCTGCAGACCCCTCCCAGAGCTTCAGACAGGCAGGAGCCTTGCAGCCTCTGCTCAGCAGCCCCCAGCCCCCCAGTTCAGCGTGCCCCACTGGCTGCCCCTCCCCCACCCACTGGGGCCCAAGGGTCAGCTCAGACAACACCGGAAATCCTCCCTTACTCTCTGTCCCTCCCCCATCCCCTCAGCCTCACCTCCTCCACCTAGTCTCCCTACTTTATTGCCCCCCTAAAACCTGAATGACCTTTTGAGTAAAAAAAAAAAAAAAAATATTCAAAATCTGGCCAGGCGTGGTGGTGGTTCATGCCTATAATCCCAGCATTTTGGGAGGCCAAGGCAGGTGGATCACCTGAGGTCAGGAGTTTGAAACCAGCCTGGCCAACATGGTGAAACCCTGTCTCTACTAAAAATACAAAAATGAGCCATGCGTGGTGTCGGGTGCCTATATTACCAGCTACTAGGGAGACTGAGGCAGGAGAATCACTTGAACCCGGGAGGCAGAGGTTGCAGTGAGCTGAGATGGTGCCACTGCACTCCAGTTTCTCATGCAATGCCCCCTGCCTGGGACATCCTTTCCCTTGTCCTCACTGGGATAAGGCCTCCCCGCTTACTGGCTCTCCCTCTGTGGAAGGAGGAAGCACACCTGCTTACTCACTGGCTCAAGAATCAGACTCACCTCAGGCCTTATGTGACCCCCTCTCCCCACCCAGGCTGGGTCAGTTTCACTCCTCTGCTCCCTCTGCCCTAGGAGTGGCCCTATCATCCTGCTCAGCTGAGTGTGCATCAGATGCCCTCACTGGGTTGGTCTCTAGGGGCAGGATCTGGTTCTCAACCACCTCAGGACCCTTGCACACAGCAGGGGTGGTGTCTGGGTCTGGGGCTGCAGCGACAGATGGGGAATGGGCTGTCAGCTGCAGCCACCTCGAAGGGAGGCAGGACACTGTGTCACCCCCACAGGCACAGACACCACCCTGCCTCTCTTCACCCCCCAGCTCTGCTCATCCCCTTGATGAGCAGAGGTACCCTCCCAGACGGCCATCTTCTGGTAGCTGCCAGGGTTGCCTTCCTTTGGCCAAGCTTGCCTGCAAAGAGAAATGCCATGAGCGGTGTGGAGGCAAGGAGGCTGAGGAGGGACTCAGTGGACCCTGACCTTCAGCTTCCCTCGAGGGGACAGTCGCAGCCACGCCTCGAGTCAGACAGGGCAGCAATGATGGCAGAGAACAAAGAGTAGCATCACCGTGGCTTCCCCTCTTCCAAGGCAGGCTTCCCGGCTGCCCCTCACTCCCTTTCGTGGGCCTCAGTTTCCACATCCGTGATATCACTGCCGACTTCAGGCCAGGGACTGCACCAGGGTCTCACAGCAACCTTCACAGGGGCAGCTTATCCCATTATTACAGCTGGGAGAAGTGAGACCCAGACGGCTCCGTCCCAGCTTCCTGGTGCAGTACTGTGCTCGGTGGCGGCCCAGGTGAATGATGATAACTAACCGCAGGGAATGTCGTCACATACTCTAACTTCCACACGTAAGTTTCTGCTTCTGCTCTCAGTGTTATGGTTTGAATGGGTCCCTTAAAGTTCATGTGTTGGAAAGTTAACCCCAATGTAGCAGTGCTGAGAGGTAAGACCTTAAAGACGTGATTAGGTCATGAGGGTGCTGCCCTCATGAATGGATTAACGTCACCAACTCAAGAAGTGTGTGTGTCGTAAAATCCACTTCAGATAGCCGAGGGCAGCTCATGCCTGTAATCCCAGCAACTTTGGAGGCAGAGGTGAAAGGACTGCTTAAAGCCAGGGGTTTCAGAGCTGCCTGAGCAATATAGTGAGACCCTATATCTACAAAATATTTAATTTAATTTAATTTAATTATTTAAGGCCAGGCAGGGTGGCTCATGCCTGTAATCCCAGCACTTTGAGAGGCCAAGGCAGGTGGATCAGTTGAGATCAGGAGTTCAAGACCAGGCTGGCCGACACGGTGAAACTCATCTCTACTAAAAATACAAAAACTAGCCAGGTGTGATGGCAGGTGCCTGTAATCCCAGCTACTCAGCAGGCTGAGGCCCGAGAATCGCTTGACCCTGGTAGGTAGAGGTTGCAGTGAGCTGAGATCGCACCATTGCACTACAGGCTGGGTGACAGAGTGAGACTCGGTCTCAAAAAAAAAAAATGTCTTTAAAGAATAGCCCAGTGTGGTGGCACAGGCCTATAATCCCAGCTACTCAGGAGGCTGAGTCAAGAAGATCACTTGAGGAGCGATCAGGAGTTTGAAGCAGGAGTTTGAGGCTGCGGTGAGCTATGATTGCACCACCGCACCTCAGCCTGGATGACAGAGCAAGACCCCATCCCTTAAAGGAAGAAAAAGAAAGAAAAGTGAGTTCAGCCCTCTCTTCCTCTCTGTCCATGTGATGCCGACTGCCATGTTGCCATGTATGATGCGGCAAGAAGGTCCTCACCAGATGCACCCCTTGAACTTGGCCTTCCCAGCCTCCAGAACTGTGAGCCAAATAAACTTGTATTGTTTATCAATTACCCAGTAGTGGTATTCTGTCATAATAGAACAAAATGGCCCAATTGATATATCCTGTCAGAAGACTGCCCTTTGCTGTACCCAGGGCTGGGAGGGTCTGGGCACCCTGTCTGGCTTCAGCTGACCTCTCTGACTGCTGGTCTAGAAGGAGCAGAGCCTTAGAACATTCAGACAGTGGCTGCCCCAGGGGCAGTCCCCTCTCTCTGGGCCTGCAGTGCTGGCCCCACAAGCTGGCCTGTGCTGTTTTATCTGGGATAGGCTGCGGAAGATGACCGGGATGATCAATTCGAGCAGCAGCACCGCCATCACAGCCCCCACGATCCCATACATGAGGCTCTGGGAGAGGTTCCATTCACAGGTCTCTCCCCAGTACCAGTGTGTACCCGTACTTGGGCACCTGGGGATGCAGAAAAGCTCAGGCTGGTCCCCCAGGATCCCTCACACCCAATATCCCAAGGTCTAACCCACTCTCCTAAGCACAGGAAACCAGCTCCCCCTCACTCCTAGGGCTGGAGCTCAGCCCCCAGAGAGCCTGGGTCCCTGACTGAGGTAGTGGTGGGGGGTACCTGGAGACTGCAGATCAGGAATTCAAATGACTAGGGCTCGGGGACACCCAAGAGTGTTTGGTGTCTTGTTCCAGACACAGGCCATTCACCCATCTAATCTTTAAGCAGCTGCCACCTAAATGGGCCTGTGCTGTCATGTTTTATCTTTTGCACTTTATGGTCTGTGGACTTAGTGCTCTGACTGCAGCTAGAAGTGATTGTGATTGACAGCATGGCTGGGATGACGTAAGGGAAATTAACAATGAAGATAGAGCTAGAGATAGACATAGACATAAAGATAGACACAGAGATAGAGATAGAGATAGATTTGGAAATTGCTAACACAAACTTTCTCAGGAAAGGATTGCCCAGCTCTGGGATGTCTGTCTCCGTATCTATAATCTGCACCTACTCCTCATTCTCTTTCTTTTTTCTCCCTCCCTCCCTCCAGTATTTTAGTAGAGATGGGGGTTTTACCATATTGTCCAGGCTGCTCTCAAACTCCTGGCCTCGTGGAGTTTGAGATCTGCCTGCCTTGACCTCCCAAAGTACTAGGATTACAAGCATGAGCCCCCGAGACCAGCCCTGCTCCTCATTCTTACTGGGGCAGGGGGATGGGGATGACGATACAGGGGAGAGGGATCTCCAGGAGTGGGGAGGAGGTACCTGCCACGCTCTACCCAATTCCACTGACCCTGTGGGTGACTGCTGGGGAGGGGAGGATCCTGCACCAGGACAGGATGGGCGCTGGGCATGGGGGGGCACTCACAGGCAGTGAGGGCCACTGAATTGCAGCTGACACCTGCCCAGGTTACAGTTCATTTGTGACTTCGGCCCTGTGGTGTATTTGGTCACACAGGCCAGCTTCCCATCTAAGACATCCACATGGTAGAACTGGGCATATTCTTTGGCAGCCTTCTGGGTGCATTTCTCAGGGGACAGGGACAGGCAGCATGAATGAGCCTGGCCAAAGCACACCAGCCCCCACGCTTAGTGCCCACACTCCACACAGCTGCTTACCCGGGAAGTCAAAGCCCAGCATCACCGATGCATCCACAAAAGTGTCATTTTCATTATAGACAGTACGGAGTCTGCCAAGACTGGGTAGGAATGAAGATGAAACAAAAACACTTCCCTGTGCCCCCCTGGGGGTATTCAGGCCACTCTCTTCTTCTATACCATGGCCTCCCCTGGGCCAATACCAATTGGCATCTTAGCCCACCCTAGACAGGCACCTGGGCTGGTGAGCAGGCTCAAATAGGGATATGAGAGCTGGTGAAAACCTCAGCCTGGGACCAAGAGGGGCTGTTGGGAGCAGCAGCTCTGGGATCTGGGGAAGGCACCCTGGGCCTGGCTTCAGGATTTCTATGGCAGAGGTCTTGGGAGTCCCAGAAGAAAGAAGAGATAGGCGAGGGAGAAGTCAAGGTCAAGATCTCCTCTCCCATCAGTCAGGGGGTTTTAGGTGAGCCTACCTCTGCACAAATCAGGTTCAATAATTGTTTCGGTTCCATCATAATCTTGGCCTTTACAATCTCAGCCAGACTTTCAAACAGTTCCTCATACTCCACAGCGTAGTCCGCCTCCAGGATGGCATCGTTCTTGACCACGACGCTGCCGTTGCTGGAAGTGGGAATTGTTTCATCAGTGACCCATGTCACCACCCACCCAGCAAGTGGAACCCAAGCAGCCAGAGAGGTAATCGGAGACAAAGCAGCTGTGTGACCCAGAGGTGGGAAAGCACACAGTCTTCCCTCCAGCAGCTAACCGCCCAGACAGAGAGAGGAGAGGAAAATGATCCAAGGTCTCGAGTATCAGTGATCGAGACAAATGCCAACGAGTGAAATTCATCTCTTGCAAAATAGAGGCTCTGGGGCGAGCAGGTGGAGAAATCTGAATCCCCGTGTCCTGCTGATTCCAAAGTAAAGCAGTGCAGCTGCTGTGGGAAACAGGATGGCGGTTCCTCAAAAAACTTAAAATGGAATTAACACATGATCCAGCAATTCCACTTCTGGGTGCATACACAAAAGAACTGAAGTAGTATATTCAAAGTAGCAGCTGATGTCATGTCACTGCACTTGGCTAAATTTTGTATTTTTAGTAGAGACAGGGTTTTACCATGTTGGCCAAGCTGGTCTTAAACTCCTGACCTCAAGTGATCTGTCCCCCTTGGCTTCCCAAAGTGCTGGGATTACAGGTGTGAGCCACCACACCTGACCTGATTTTTATAATTTTTGTAGAAATAGGGTCATCCTATGTTGGCCAAGCTGATCTCAAACTCCTGAGCTCAGGTGATCCTCCCACCTCGGCCTCCCAAAGTGCTGGGATTACAAGCGTGAGCCACCACACCCAGCCTCTAAAGGGTCTTATGAGAGATGCAGGCATTGGTATCCCCAGATGGATGTCACTGGAAGTCCTGGGGGTGGGATGAGATAGATGACCCACGTGGGGGGTGAGGGAGGGTCATGGTGCTTGAACCTGGGAGGTGGAGGTTGCAGTGAACTGAGATTGCCCCACTGCACTCCAACCTGGGTGACAGAGCAGGACTCCATCTCAAAACAAAACAAAACAATTACAACAATTACCCAAGCATGATGGCACAGGCCTGTAGTCCCAGCTATTCGGGAGGCTGAGGTGGGAGGACTGCTTGGGCCAGAGATGTTGAGGCTGCAGTGAGCCATGATATGCCACTGCATTCCAGCCTGGTCAATAGAGCAAGACCCTGTGCCCCGATCCCCCGAAAAGAAGATGCTTTAGGGCACATCCCACTGCTGCATCAGCCAACCACTCCATGTGGCTGGTTCCCAGGCTCTTGAAACCTGACGTGGTGCACCCCAAACTCATCATCTCCTTCCCCCATTCTACCCCTCTGACATTCCTTCACCCAGCACAGGGCACTTCACACCTCCAGCAGCCCAGAAATCTGCCCTCATTCCTCAGTCTTCCCTCTCTTCCCTCCTGTAGCAAATCCCATGGTCTGTGGGTCTCGCCTCCGGAAGACCTTTCACACTGGACCCCTTTTCTCCTATGCTGTCACCTCTCTGGTCTGGGCCACTGTCGTCTCCAGGGCAGACTTCTGCTTATACAATCTCCACCCTGAAGCCAGACTAAGCTGTCTGCTCTGCAGACCAGACACTATCCCTGCTGGGCCTACGCTGCTGATGCCAAAAGATTAACTTGGCACGAGCCATCTTTCCAGCCTCCTCCCCCATCATCGCTCCTTTGCGCTCAAGTATCCAGCTGTTCTGAGCATCTTTAGCTTCCTGGAATCTGCTCTCCTCTCTCTCCCCTCTGGGCTCCTTCTCATCTATTCCCTCTGCTTCAACGCTTTCTCCTTCCCTTCCCTCTCTCTGGAGCATTCCTCCTCATCCTTCAGGCCTCAATTTTGTGACTCAAGCTCATTTGTGACTTCGTCCCTGCGATGCATTTGGTCACATAGGCCAGCTTCCCATCCAAGACATTCACATAGTAGAACTGGGCATATTCTTTGGCAGCCTTCCAGGTGCATTGCTCTGGGGGAGAGGGATGGCCAACATGGTACAACCCTGTCTCTATTAAAAATATAAAAATTATATATTTTTTTCTCTTTGTAGAGATGGGGTCTTGCTGTGTTGCCCAGGCTGGTCTATTTCCGGCTTGAAGCGAGCCTCCTGCCTTGGCTTCCCAACGCATTGAGATTACATGCATGAGCCACCATGCCCAGCCTGTTTCTAGTTTTTCCTGGAAGAATTCCCTCCACCCCACCAAGCTTGATTTTGGGACCTCTCTCAGGGCACCCTGTGTGCCCCTCGCTGTAACTCTAAGCAGACTGCACAGCCACTTTGACATCTGTGTTCTGCCACTCTGAGCTCCAGGAAAACTGGGACTACTGTATTCCCAGCACCCAGCAGGGGGCCAGCTTTCAATAAATGTTTGTTGAGTGGATGAATGAATGAAGAATGAATGGTCTCACGGCCCTGTGGTGTTACCCAGTGGCTGCCAGCCTCTCTAACCCAACCAGGTGTTGATACTCCAGTCATTCATGATAGGAGGAGGCAGGAGGATTTTCCCACATCTATAAACCTGTCCCCAATATACTCACAGCAATCTCCGAATGTCCACCCCTCTATACTGAGGAAGATCGTCGCCTGCGTAAACGACATCCATCTGAAAGAAACAAGGCAGTGAGGGTCACAGGGTTAGAGCGTGAAAAGCCTCCTGTTCCCCTCCTTGGGGCAACCGCAGGCACCCTTCTGTGGAGCCCACATAGGATCCCATAGGAAGAACCACCAACCCAGGAGGCTCCCTCTGCCATAATGTGGGTCACGTGGCTAGATACTCTTAGAGGACCTCCTTTCAAGACTTAGGGAGACTGGGTAGGGGGGCTCATGAGAAGAAGGACTCAGATCACTAAGTCAGGGTGCACCCCCCAATTCCCTCTCATGTGGGACATCAACCTGGGGTGTCTGGGCATGCCCTGGTCTTACCCGATTCTTGAAGAGGTTAGTGAGATTCTGGTATGCTTGGGAGGATGAGTCATTCATCTGTTCTGTGAACTTTCTGTTAGTCACTCTCACTCTCACACCTAAAGTGGCGTTGAGTTTTTCTGGGTTTTCTGTGGAAAAAGACCATGGGATGCGTGAGACATCGACCTCCCGATAACGTCCCCCAGAATTGGTACATTCTCTGCCTGTGGGTGTCTTGGAGGTGAAGAAAACTCAAGAGGAAGGTAGCGGTCGCTGAGATTTCTGTTCCCTGTCTCCAAAACCCTGAGGAGCCAGGGGCCAGGAGGGAAAGGGACAGATCTAAGTCCAGAGTTCCAGGAAGGGTCAGGACAGAGGCCCTCTGATGAGAGGGGCAGGTGAGCTAGGCGCTGTGGCTCACACCTGTAATCCCAGTGCACTGGGAGGCTGAGATGGGAAAATCGCTTGAGGTCAGGAGTTCAAGACCTGCCTGGGCAACACAGCGAGATACTGTCTCCACAAAAATCAAAAAGTTAACCAGGTGTGGTGGTGCATGCCTGCAGTCCCAGCTACTCGGGAGGCTGAGGCCAGAGGATAACTTGAGCCCAGGAGTTCCAGGCCACAGTGAGCTATGATAGCACCACTGCACTCCAGCCTAGGCCGCAGAGTGAGACCCTGTCTCAGAAGAAGTGAAGCTTCCTCAAACTAAAAATAAAGCTACCATACAATCCAGCAATCCCACTACTGGAAAAGAAAGGAAATCAAGGCTAGACACGGTAGCTCACACCTGCAATACCAGCACTTTGGGAAGCAGAGCAGGTGGATCACCTGAAGTCAGGAGTTCAAGACCAGACTGGACAACATGGCAAAACTCTGTCTATATTAAAAATACAAAAATTAGCCGGGTATGGTGGCCCATGCCTGTAATCTCAACTACTCAGGAGGCTGAGACAGGAGAATTGCTTGAACCCAGGAGGCAGAAGTTGCAGTGAGCCAAGATCGCAGCATTGCACTTCAGCCTGGGAGATAGAGCGAGACTCTGTCTCAAAATAAAATAAAAATAACTGAAATAGGTCTGAGTGTGATGGCTCATGCCTGTAATCCCAGCACTTTGGGAGGGTGAGACAGGTGGATCACTCGAGGTCAGGAGTTCAAGACCAGCCTGGCCAACATGGTGAAACCCCATCTCTACTGAAAATACAAAAATCACCAGATGTGGTGGCGGGCACCTATAATCTCAACTACTTGGGAGGCTGAGGCAGGAGAATTGCTTGAACTAAGGAAGAAGAGGTTGCAGTTAGTCAAGATCGTACCACTGCACTCCAGCCTGGGTGACAGAGTGAGACTCTGTCTCAAAAAATAAAGTAACTAAAATAATACAATTGGATTGTTGGCAACACAAAGATTCAATGCTTGAGGGAATGGGTACCCCATTCTCCATGCTGTGATCATTACACATTGCATGCCTGTATCAAAACATCTCATGTATACTCCATAAATATATGCATATACTATGTACCCACAAAAATTAAAAACAATTCGACCGCTCATATTTCCACCTTCCACCTCCGTCCCTGAAGGCAGAGGTGGAAGGTTCGTGCTCTCCCTGTGGTGTTGCTGGGAAAAGCCACAGACCTGCTCCACCTGCACAGTGAGGCAACGGCTGATCCTTCCAACACTGCCATGATGTTTTTAGGGGTCAAAGCATCTGGAAAGAGCTGCAGGTCTCAGAAAAGGTCACTACCTATGGGGAAGGGTTCCATAACGGACAAGCGCCGATAACCAAAGCAACCTCTGGGACAGTTGCACAGTTTTCCAGTCCAAAATCGTCCTTCCTGGCACAACTCTGTGGAGAGTCACCGTGGAAGCCCAAGGGGCAAAACACTCACTCGCATTTCAGGTCCAGTCACTCAGCATCGCACAGAAGAGGATGTGCCAGGGGGACGGTGCCAGGTGGCTGCACAGCAATGAAGATGCCTCTGCTGCCACCCCCGTCCCCAGGAGAGAGTAAAAAAGGGAGGAGGAACAGCAGAGAGTAAGGAAACAAAAGATACAAGAGGTCCAGCTAGGAAAAAAGCACTCTTATGTTTCAAAAGAGGACAATTCTACCCGTGGGATGACAAGAGACAGAGAGGAGAAAGGGCTGGAAATGTGAACCAAAATCGCAAGAGGCCAAAGCAGACACGAATTCTCATGAAGACAGACAGAAGGAGGCCAGGTGCGGTGGCTCATGCCTATAATCCCAGCACTTTGGGAGGCCGGGGTGGGTGGCTCAAGTGAGGTCAGGAGTTTGAGACCATCCTGGCCAACATGGTGAAATCCTGTCTCTACTAAAAATACAAAAATTAGCTGGACATGGTGGCATGGCCCGGATTCCCAGCTACTCAGGAGGATGAGGCAGGAGAATCGCTTGAACCCAGGAGGCAGAGGTTGCAGTGAGCTGAGATAGCGCCATTGCATGTCAGCCTGGGTGACAGAACAAGACTCCATCTCAAAGAAAAAAAAATACAGACAGAAGGAGTTTATAGAAGGATGCACCAAAAAAACCACCCTGGGGTCATAGAGGAAGGAAAGATTGCTGTCATAGATGTGTGGGGACCAGTGAACAGCATATGAACAGCACTGGAAGTGGTATCGAACCCAGAAACTGGAGAATCAGTAGGCCCAAGTAAAGTGGAAGATGGATTTTTAAAAAAAGGAGATTTTGTAATGGAGAAAGAAGAGTCATGAACAGGCCCGGAGAAGAAGCCAGCTGTGGATGAAATTGAAAGAGCAGTACCTGGCACTAAGGTTTGGAGGCTTTCAGAAGACACAACTGTAGAAGTGAGGCTTAGACTGGTGTGGGAGGTGGTAGGTTCCTCAGGGAAGCCCGCTGTTGTGGTACCTCCAGGTAACGTTGTCATTTCAGTTGAGCTTGAACTGATGGGTGAAGAGGTGGGTTGCTCACTGGTGCCTGAGCTTGTCATGCTGGCAGGTGACAGTGTTGAGGGAGTTGAGCCTGAGTGGCTGTTGGAGGTGGTGGGTTGTTCGCTGACACCTGAACTTGTCATGCTGGCAGGTGACAGTGTTGAGGGAGGTGAGCCTGAGCCTGGTTGGCTGTTGGAGGTGGTGGGTTGTTCACTAGTGTCTGAGCTTGTCATGCTGGCAGGTGACAGTGTTGAGGGAGTTGAGCCTGAGTGGCTGTTGGAGGTGGTGGGTTATTCACTGATACCTGAGCCTGTCATGCTGGCAGGTGAGCGTGTTGAGGGAGTTGAGCCTGGTTGGCTGTTAGAGGTGGTGGGTTGTTCACTGGTGCCTGAGCTTGTCATGCTGGCAGGTGACAGTGTTGAGGGAGTTGAGCCGGAGTGGCTATTGGAGGTGGTGGGTGCCTGTAGTCCCAGCTACTCAGTAGGCTGAGCCAGGAGAATTGCTTGAACCTGGGAGGTGGAGGTTGCAGTGAGCCAAGATCGCACCATTGCACTCCAGTCTGGTTAACAAGAGTGAAACTCGGTCTCAAAAAAAAAAAACAGGAGTCTCTTGGGTTTACTCATAAATTTTACTGGAATTTTTAAGTTATAAAAGTGAATGTGTCTGTTGTCACCAAACAATGAAAAGGCATATAAAGTTAGTCTATCGTCATCTCCATAACTGACTCACAAAATATGAACAGGGTGGGGAGAGCTCGCATTTATTGGGTACAAATCAGATTCCTGTACTCACTCTATCACTTAACTGGAACTCAGTGATTCAGGAACTGCCTGGGAATTCCTTCGCCCTTGTAGGCTGTGAGGTCCGTGAGGGTTCAGCTGGCCCCGTAGAGGCTCAGTGAGACTCTCCTCAGTGAACAAGTCAGTGAATGCTGGGAAGTTGAAGGTGCTTTCTCTTAGTCCCCGAAAGTAAACATCACAGACAACCTGCAAGATGGACGTCGCTATTTTTTTTTAGGAGTCTCACTCTGTTGCCCAGGCTGGAGTGCAGTGGCGCGATCTCAGCTCGCTGCAACCTCCACCTCCTGGGTTCAAGCAATTCTAGTGCCCTACCCTCCCAGGTAGCTGGGATTACAGGTGTGCACCACCACGCATGGCTAGTTTTTTTGTATTTTTAGTAGAGATGGGGTTTCCCCTGCCTCAGCCTCCCAAGTAGCTGGGATTACAGGTGCCTGCCACCATACCAGGCTAATTTTTATATTTTTAGTAGAGATAGGGTTTTGCCATGTTGGCCGGGCTGGTCTTGAACTCCTGGCCTCAGGTCAGCCACCCACCTCAGCCTCCCAAAGTGCTGGGATTACAGGCGTGAGCCACTGCGCCCAGTCACTATTTCTATTTTACATAGGAATCAAGGTTCTAAGGATAAATAATTTCCAAGGTCACTCAGATTATAACATAGAATTCAAGCGCATTCTAAAGATGGCTTTTGGCCAGGGATGGCGGCTCATACCTGTAATCCCAGCATTTTGGGAGGCCAAGGTGGGAAGATTAGTTGAGGCCGGGGGTTCAAAAAAAATTTAAATATTAGCTGGGTATGGTACATGCACCTGTAGTCATGTACTGAGTCCAGCTACTCAGGAGGTTGAGGCAGGCAATCACTTGAGCCCAGGAGTTCAAGGCTGTGGTAAGCTATGATCCCATCACTGCACTCCAGCTTGGGCAACAGAGAAAGATCGTATCTCAAACGAAACAAAAAAGGCAGGTATAGCAGCTCATGCCTGCAATCCCAACACTTTGAGGGGGGCCAAGGTGAAAGGATTGCTTGAACCAGGAGTTTGAGATCAGCCTGGGCAATATAATGAGACCCCGTCTCAAGAAGAAATTAGCCAGGCATGGTGCTGTGCCCCTGCAGTCTCAGCTACTTGGAGGCTGAGGCAGGAGGATCACTGGAGCCCAGAAATTCAGGGCTGTACTGAGCTATGATCAGGCCACCGCACTCCAACCTGGGCAACAGAGCAAAAAAGAAGAAAGGGAGGGAGAGGGAGGGAAAGAGAGAGAGAGAGAGAGAGAGATGACTTTTCCTTTTAGCCGAAAAAAAGGGTTAGAGGAATAAAGAGGAAGAAGGGGAAGGTTTGAGGGGCGGGGGACAGCATGTGTGGGGGCCCAGAGGTGAGTAAAAGTGCTGATTGTGTATTTGGGGTGAGGGAAGACACTAAGACAGAGGGCAGCTAGGAAAATGTGTGTGAATCCAGCCTAGAAATGGGGTTCGGACCTGACTTGGTTCAGTCCATGATCCTCACCATGCCTTAGAAGCTGTGCCCTGGAGGCTGGACACGATGGCTCAAGCCTGTAACCCCAGCACTTTGGGAGGCTGCAGTGGGCAGATCACCTGAGGTCAGGAGTTTGAGACCAGCCTGGCCAACATGGTAAAACCTCATCTCTACTAAAATTACAAAAATTAGCCAGGTGTGGTGGTGGACACCTGTAGTCTCAGCTACTTGGGAGGCTGAGGCAGAAGAATCACTTGAACCTGGGAGGCAGAGGATGCAGTGAGCCAAGATCATGTCACTGCACTCCAGTCTGGGCAATAGAATGAGATTCCATCTCAGAAAGAAAAAAGAAGGAGAAGAGGAAGAAGAAGAAGAAGAAAGTGAAGGAGAAGGAGAAGCAGCAGCTGTGCTTCGAGGCTACAGGAAGGGACATGGAGGGACAGAGGTTGATGAGGCCAAGGCAGTGACATGGTGGGCCACCGTGAGACACAAAGAAGGCAGGGACACTCTGTGGAATGCAGGGGACCATTTGGAACATGACCTGCTCTCATTTTCTCCTGGATTCATACCATTTTCTCCGATGTGTTACCATTCAGTTTGTCCTTAACCACTCACATCTCCACAACAGTTACCCTTGCAGGTTACACCATGCCTGAGCTCCCAGTGACTGACTCCCCATCCATCTCATCCAGCTGCCCTTCTTCTTTCTGAAATCTCAAATTCAGTTCCAAGGACACCGTCACCTCCTGATGCTCCTTCTCCCCACTTCCTACAGCCCTTGCCTGCTCACTAACTGGGACCCCCAGGTTAAAGGCTTTGGCTCTGCCACCCCCATCCTCCCCCGGGCTAGCAAACTCCACCAAGTCAAGGCTCTTTACTCGCTGCAGGAGGGACAAGAGAACTGTGCTCTGGGTGAAGAGATTCAGACCCTTCGCAAACTGGAATTCTGGTGGCAATGGTGTCCCCAAAAGATGTCACAGAGCAGGTGGGGCAGTCCTTCCCCAGATCAACCTCCAGGGTCAGGGTGCTCCACAAGGAAACAGGGCAAAGGAAAACTGAGCCTCTTCTCCCAAGAGACTCAAATGGCCAACAAGCCCAGGAGAAGGAAAAAGGAAATAAATGTCACCAGGAAGCAAAGAAACCCAAAACATAGCAAGAGACTATTTCTTCTTCATCTATCAAATTGTACCCATTATGATGACCGATGACCACAATAACTGGCATTGGTTGGGGTCTTTCATGTGATGTTGACTTGGCATCATAGTTCCAAGGGATAATTTGAAAATATGCAGGGACCATAGGAAGAGTCGTGCCTTTTCTTTTCTTTTCTTTTTTCTTTTTCTTTTCTTTTTTTTTTTAGATGGAGTTTTGCTCTTGTTGCCCAGGCTGGAGTGCAATTATGCAATCTCGGCTCACTACAACCTCCACCTCCCGGGTTCAAGCAATTCTCCTGCCTCAGCCTCCCAAGTAGCTGGGATTACAGGCATGCGCCACCACAGCCAGCTAATTTTGTATTTTTAGTAGAGACGGGGTTTCTACACGTTGATCAGGCTGGTCTCGAACTCCCGACCTCAGGCGATCCGCCCGCCTCAGCCTCCCAAAGTGCGTGGATTACAGGTGTGAGCCACTGTGCCCAGCCAGTCATACCGTTTTTTTTTTTTTTAGGAGTTGGGGGTCCCACTCAGTCACCCAGGCTGGAGTGCAGTGGCACAACCTGAGCTCACTGCAGCCTCAAACTCCTGGGCTCAGGTGATCCTCCCACCTCAGCCCCCAAAGTACCTCAGGCCATAGGCCCCACCATGCCCAGCTAACTTTTTATGTTTTGTAGAGATGGGGTCTCCCTATATTGCCCAGGCTAGTCTCAAACTCCTGGCCTCCAGTGATTGTCCCACCTCAGCCTCCCAAAGCATTGGAATTACAGGCGTGAGCCACCACACCCAGCTGCTGATATCACTTTAACGATGCCATTTCTAGTTACTCATTCTAAAGTAATCTGACGCAGATAGAAAATAAAATCTATACAAGAATGTTTATTGCCTCGTTACTTATTATAGTAAAAAACTGAGGTGTGCATGTCCGGGAATAGACAAATAGGGGACTGGTTATATGGCTGTGGTATTTCACAGAATAGAATAGTAATCAGCCATTAAAATATAAACCACCCACAGAATAAATCTAAATACATAGTCAGAAATAAAATGTTAATAATGTTTATCTGAATGTTAAGATGAAGGGGGATTTTTTTAGGCTGGGTGTGGTGGCTCACGCCTGTAATCCCAGCCCTTTGAGAGGTGGAGGCAGGTGGACCCCTGAGGTCAGGAGTTCAAGACAGCCTGGGAAACATGGTGAAACCCTGTCTCTAATAAAATACAAAAATTAGCTAATTTTTAATGAGTCAGAGATCAGAGTGATGATATAAAAAGCCAAAACACCAGGAGTCACCATGAGTTAGAAAATACTGGCCGGGCACGGTGGCTCACGCTTGTAATCCCAGCACTTTGGGAGGCCAAGATGGGTGGATCACCTGAGGTCAGGAGTTCAAGACCAGCCTGGCCAACATGGTGAAACCCTGTCTCACCATGGGTGGATCGCTTGAGCCCAGGAGTGCGACATCAGCCTGGACAACATAGCAAGACCCATCTCTACAAGAAGAAAAAGATACAAAAATTAGAAAGTCTCATAACCTGGCCTCTAAATAAAGAAAGAAATATTTTTTAAGAAAGGGAGAAGCTAGAAAAGGCAAGGGGAGACCTTCCTCTAGAGCTGTTGAAAGGAGTGTGGCACTCATGATAACCTTGACTCCAAACTCTGGCCTCCACAACGGTAAGAAAATAAATTTCTGTTGCTTGAATCCACAAAATGTTAATTTCTTGTGGCAGACTTAGGGAATGCATACGCAGAGGCATTCCTGATTACAGCAAGGGGTAAAGAATGGCGACCCTGGAGCTGGAAGGCTTAGGTTCAAATCCTAGCTCCTCCAACTGATGTATGGGTGGCTTTGAGCAAAATTTTTTTTTTTTTTTTTTTGAGACGAAGTCTCGCTCTGTCGCCCAGACTAGAGTGCAGTGGCGCAATCTTGGCTTATTGCAACCTCCACCTCCCGGGCTCAAGCAATTCTCCTGCCTCAGCCTTTTGAAACTGCCACCATTCCTGGAATTTTTGTGTTTTGAGTAGAGCTGAGGTTTCACCATGTTGGCCAAACTGATCTTGAACTCCTAGCCTCACGTGATCTGCCCACCTTGGCCTCCCAAAGTGTTGGGATTACAGGCATGAGACACTGTGCCCGCCAAGCAAATCACTTATCATGTCTGTGCTTCTGTTTCCCCATGTATAAAAACCCAAAATCAGGCCTGGCAATTCCAGCACTTTGGGAGGCAGAGGCAGGTGAATCACGAGGTCAAGAGATTGAGACCATCCTGGCCAACATAGTGAAACCCCGTCTCTACTAAAATACAAAAATTAGCTGGGCATGGTGACACTCGCCTGTAGTCCCAGCTACTTGGGAGACTGAGGCAGGAGAATTGCTTGAATCCGGGAGGCGGAGGTTGCAGTGAGCCAAGATTGTGCCACTGCATTCCAGCCTGGTGCCTGGCAAAAGAGCAAGACTATCTCAAAAAACAAAAACAAAAAAATCCAGCTGCATCCATGTTGAAATTAAAAGCAGAAGGAAATTAAACAACAAAAAAAAGTAACACCCTTCTTAGGAATGTTGGAACGTGTTGAAGGTTAAATGAGATAATATTTAGAAAAGTGTCTACACATAGTCATCAACATCCCACAAAAATAAATAAATAGATAAATAAATAAAAGTGTCTAGCACATAGCAAGACTTCAGGGAGTATTTGCCATTTTTAATACATATATTTTTTCTTTTTCTTTTTAAGAGGTAATGTCCTGAGCTGTCACCCAGGCTGGAGTGCAGTGGTGCGATCCTAGCTCACTGCAACCTGGAATTACTAGATTCACGAGACCCTCTCCCCTCAGCCTCCTGAGTATCGGGGACTAGAGGGACACACCACGATGCCCAGCTAATTTTTTATTTAAAAAATATCTTTGCCTAGGCTAGTCTCGAACTCCTGGCCTCAAGCAATCCTCGAACCTCAGTCCCCCAAAGTGCTGGGATTACAGGCATGAGTAAGCCACCACGCCTGGCCCATTTTCAATATTAATATGATACCTAGACTAACGGGTCTCTGTTGGCTTCTCCAACTGGGGTGTGGGAGTCCCTGGGCCTTCCCATACCCCAGTGAGCTGTGGGTGACCCCAGCTCATCCCAGCACCACCCCAAGATTTGATCTTACCCAGGAAATCTGGTTACCAACAGCCTAATTCTCTCCCTAGCTGCTTGTGGTTTTGTCAGTCCTGAATTTGCCTAAGGCCTTTGAGCATCTGTTAATATAATACTTCCTTCCTGTACTACGTCTCCACCGCCACCAAACTGAAATGCTGCCTCTCCCGGTGCCTTCATGTACCCCCTCTGTGCCCCTCCAGCCCCCGGCCCCCTCATGAGGCTCCAGCAGCAGAATGGGCTGTGGCCGTTTCTGCCCCAATCCCACCGCACTAACTCTGCTATAAACCGTTTATTCCCCCTGCCTCATCAGAACACCTGCCCGCTGGACTTTGGTGTTTGCTGAGTGACTAAGCTTATTACTCTCCGTGTAAAACAGCACTCCTCGTGCTTGCTTTAAATTTTACATGGCTCGAGTCTCAAAGGTTGCCCCTTTGTCTATTGTGAACAAATCTGTTCTCACCCCACCACACTCTTCCCAATTTTATAGATGTTAATCATTTCCACCTCCACCGTCACCTTTCTAGGCTAAAGAGCACTGACCCCTTCAGACCCCTGCCCCTGCCCCTGACCCTGACCCTCCAGGGCAGACACTTGGTCCTTCTCCCCTACACCATCCCCTCCCTGACCCTTACTAGGAACACTGTGGAACTGCATGCACCCAAAACAGGACACCGGTTCCAGTCCTCATGTGGATCCCTGGCATTTTTCTGGCATTTTCTGGTCTTTCTTTCACCCTCTGCAGCACTTGGAGAAGGTAGCGTTCTAAACTGTGTCCGTATTGCTGGAGCCCTAGGCCACCAGGACAGCTCCTCCCAGAAACCCCACGGTCACCCCAAACTCAACAGGCCCAACTGGAGACCCCTGTCATCTGAGAAAGAGAGGTTCCTGTCCTCCCACTCAATACAGCTTCCCAGACTGTCCATCTGCTATTCCAGGGTGGCTCTCGGTGGCTCTCAAGAGGCCTCTCTCAAATGAAGATGGTAGAAATAAAAACCATAATATCAGAGATGAAGAGTTCTTTTCAAAAGCTTTAATATTATTATTATTATTATTTGAGACAAGGTCCCTCTCTGTTGCCCAGGCTGGAGTGCAGGGGCACAATCACAGCTCCCTGCAGCTCTGGCCTCCTGAGCCCAAGCAGTCCTCCTATCTCAGCCTCCCAAGTAGCTGGGACCACTTGGTGCACACCACCACATCCAGATAATTTTTTTCTGGTATTTTTTATAGAGATGGGGTCTTGCTATGTTGCCCAGGTTGGCCTCAAACTCCTGAGCTCAAGCTATCCTCCCACCTCAGCCTCCCAAAGTGCTGGGATTACAAGTGTGAGCCATTGCACCTGGCCAAAGACTTCCTTTCAACAAGATGATCAGCAGATAAGACATAGTAGAGGAAAGAATGAGTGAAGACAAGTCAATAAAAGCTGAAGATAAGCCCATTTTTATCTTTAGTCAATTGATAAATCAATAAAATTACCCAAACTAAAACACAGAAATGGGTGGTGGTGATGTGGGCAGAACAGAGTATCCAAGAGCTGTAGTCCAATATGGAATGGCTTCATATACGTCTCTTTGGAGTCTCAGAAGGAGAAGAGAGAGAGAATAGGGCAGAAGAAATATATGAAGACAATAATCACTAAGAACTTCCCAAAATAAATGAAGGGCCACAAGCCACAGACATTATAGTCAGAGTCAAATTGCTGAAAACCAAAGATAAAGAGAGAAAAACGTGTTTTGAGACAGGGCCTCACTCTGTCACCCAGGCTGCGGTACAATGGTGCCATCACGGCTCACTACAGCCTCAAATTACCAGACTCAAGAGATCCTCTCCCCTCAGCCTACCAAGTAACTCAGACTATAGGCATGCACCACTATGACTGGCTAATTTTTGTTAAGAGATGGGGTCTCCCTATGTTGTCTGAGCTGGTCTCAAACCCCTGGGCTCAAGGGACCCTTCTGCCTCAGCCTCCCAAAGTTCTGGGATTACAGGCATGAGCCACCACACCCAGCCTTTTTTTTTTTAAGATGGGGTCTCACTATGTTGCCCCGGCTGGGGCCTCCCAAAGCACTGGGATTACAGCACGAACCACTGCACCCAGCCAATCATGAAAACATCTTGAAGGCAGCCTGTCTTAATTGGCTTGGGCTGCCATAGCAAATACCATATACTGGGTGGCTTAAACAATAGAAATTGGCCAGGTGCAGTGGCTCATGCCTGTAATCCCAGCACTTTGGGAGGCTGAGGTGGGAGGATGGCTTGAGCCCAGGAACTCAAGACCAGCCTGGGCAACAAAGCAAGACTCCCATCTCTTAAATGAGAAACAGAGATTTATTTCTCACAGTTCTAGAGCCTGCAAAGTTCAAGACCAAGGTGCTGGCTGACTGAGTGCATGGTGAGCACCCACATTTTCACACCCCAGCCTGTAGTAGGGGCTGGGGCCATGGCAGTGGACCCATCCCAGAAGCCCTCCCTGCAACCCACGCCTCCAGGACACCTACACCCAGAAACTTCACCATCACCCCAAACTCTACAGACCCAACCAGAGACCCTCGTCATCCAGCAAAAGAGGCTACTCTCCTCCCCATCAACACAGCCTCCTGGACCATCCATCTCAGTATCCCACAGCCAACCATCAAGTGGAGCCCCCATTTCCAGGGGAACCAGGTTCCCAGTGGGGCCTTTGTGTCCTCCTCCCAGGGTAGCTTTGGGAGCCTCTCCACAGCCTGTCTGATGCTGGTCTGCCTTACAGAGGCATCCCCAGCCCTACTCTGCCCACAGAGGTCCCTTTGATGTCTAAACACCCCAGCTTGGCCTTACTGCTCTTGTCACCCACAGTGCACCAGCACCACCACACTCTCCCCAGCAAACATCATGCTCAACCCCGCACGTGCCCCCCTCGTCTTTCAAGGCATTCGTACGCCTTAGCTCCCCTGCAGAGCCGTGGAAATGATGTATGTACCTTCTCAGGGTGGTCTTCCCTTGCTCTACTCTCTGCTTGGCCAAAACCTCACCAGTCCTCAGTGTGCACTGGAGTACCCAGAAGAGGCTGCAGAGTGTAGGAAGGAAATCAAGCTACAGATGGTGGGCCAGGTGCGGCGGCTCACACCTGTCATCCCAGCACTTTGAGGGGCCAAGGCAGGTGGATCCCTTGAGGCCAAGAGTTCCAGACCAGCCTGGCTAACATGGTAAAACCCCATCTCTATCAAAAATACAAAAAAAAAAAAAATTAGCTGGGCATGGTGGCACACACCTGTAGTCCCAGGTACTTGGGAGGCTCAGCCAGGAGAATCGCTTGAACCCTGGAGACAAAGGTTCCAATGAGCCAAGAGTATGTGGCTGCACTCCAACCTGGACAACAGAAGAGACTCTGTCTCAAAAAAAAAAAAAAAAAAGGCTACAGATGCCACTGGCAGTCTCTGATCTGACATGTGAACTGTTCCGCAAGGACCCAGAACACATTCCAGGAGCACGGGATGGTTTGCAGAGAACTGAGGTCCTCCAGAGGGGAGGAGAGGCGCAGGGCACAAATCCACTGTCAAGTGGTGGTTGTGTTAACTGCTTGCTGTGTGGCCCCAGGTAAATCTCTCATCCTCTCTGAGCCTCCATTTCCTCATCTGCCCTGACTTCCTTACACAGTCCTCCTTGTGAGAATCACATGAGCCGCCTGCTGGGAAGTGGCTTTGTGAACGGCAGAGCCCTCTGCGAGAGGAGAGCAGGGACTCTGGATCTCATCAGACCTTCCGGAGCCTTCCGCAGTGGCCCTACTTGCCTGGCCTCTCCCTCCTGCTCTCTGCACTTGCTGTAGATAGATGTTTTTCTGACTCTTTTGCACATGAAGGGATTTCCCTGTGTTATCTTGGCCACGCAATTACAAGCACCTGAGGGACAGGGGCTCAGGGCTGCTTGGGGGCCATCTCTAACACTCGCCTGGGTACACAGAGGCAATGTCACCTGCTGACTCCTGGGGCCTTCATCATCGCTGTCATCACCTCCACCACCCTCTACTTGAATAATCTGACCAGAAAGAGGCCCCAGGATTGGCTGGGCCAGACCTGGGGAGCAGGGATGGGGAGGCCCACAGCTTCCCTGTATATTACCTTAAAGGGAATCTGTGTGTTATTAATAAACTCTCATAATGTCCCCAAATCCACAGAGGTGGTCACTCCAGCCCTTGAAACTCTCTCATCAGCTCCTCCCAGCCTGTACCGCTCTCGCAACAGGTCCGGGCGGGGTAAAGCAGGTCTTCTCTGTGAAGGCTGGGCAGGCAGAAACAGACTTGGAGGGCTTGAGTCCCTGGCTGGGAGGATGGTGGAATCTCCCTGGTGGGTTACCTCAAAGGTGTCCTTCAGGACTCCAGAGACCCCCACCTCATGTCCCCTGCCCTGTCACCACCCCTTCTGCCCACCCCATAGCCTTGAACTCAAAGTCGCCACCCTCTCATCTCTTCACCCCTGTCCACCCCTGCCAGGAAGGAATCAGAAAGTGTGTTCTGTATGAAGGAAATCAGCGGGGGACCATTCATCTCAGACACAGCCATGACCAGGCTGGGCGAGGACCCCCGGGCCTCTGTCTCCTCCCACAGCCCCTCAGCCATTTTTTTTAAGACGGTGTTTTATTCTTGTCACCCAGGCCGGAGTACAGTGACGTGATCTCGCCTCACTGCAACCTCTGCCTCCCACGTTCCAGTGACACTCCTGCCTCAGCCTCCCGAGTAGCTGGGGTTACAGAAGCAAGCGCCACCATGCCCAGCTAATTTCTGTTATTTTTAGTAGAGATGGGGTTTCACCATGTTGGGCAGGCTGGTCTCAAACACCTGATCTCAGGTGATCTGCCCACCTTGGCCTCCCAAAGTGCTGGGATTACAAGTGTGATCCACCACGCCCGACCCCCTCAGCCATTTCTAACTGGAAGGGACTTCCAAGGCGCACCTGAGGCTCCCCTAAGTCAAGGGAGGATGCTGTCAGACGGCCCCCTGGACTCCTTCTCTCTGGAGCAGGGCTGGCAGCCTGTGCTACGCCTCTGTGAGGTTTGGAAAGGCTCAGCCCTCCAGCAGATAAAGCCCCCAGGATGAAGGTAGGCAGAGACCACTCTGTGACAAAAGCCCACTCGTCCTCCCAGGGGAAGTCTGGAGAGCAGAAGTCGTGGATTTCACTCACCCCTTGGCCAGGGGCTGTGTGCAGACCACCCCTGCACAACCACAGGCACCCACAGGTCTCCACAGTGAGCCCTTCAGCACCCGCAAAGGCAAGATGAAGCCATGGCAGGGGTCTCCAGCCCCTTGGCAGGCCCCTCCCATGCAAAGGTGGGGAAGCCACTTGCAGCCCTGCTGCCCCACATGGGGGCATGCACTAGGACCACCCAGAAACTCTGGGCCTGGAGCATCAGCCCAGGAGCACTCACCCTCTGTCAGATGTGCAGAGCCTGAGAGCCAGCACCACAATCCAGATCATCAGCATCTCCCCCTGGCTGCTGGTCTTCCCTCCTCAGGAGGGACCGAGAAATGAAAGCCTCCCAGGAAGAGATCAGCTATAAAAAGGACCCCAGAGGCCAGATGTGGTGGCTCACGCTTGTAATCCCAGCACTTTGGAAGACCAAGGCGGGCAGATCACGAGGTCAGGAGATCAAGACCCTCCTGGCTAACAAAGTGAAACCATGTCTCTACTCAAAATAGAAAAAATTAGCTAGGTGTGGCAGCATGTGCTTGTAGTTCCAACTACTCGGGAGGCTGAGGCAGGAGAATTCCTTGAACCTAGAAGGCGGAGGTAGTGAGCCGAGATCGCGCCACTGCACTCCAGCCTGGGCAACAGAGCAAGACTCTTCTCAAAAAAAAAAAAAGGACTCCAGAGACCTTTGCCTTAAAAAGGGAAAGTGCCTGTGCCTGTCTCGGGGTAGGGGTGAGGTGATGATATTAGGTGACCACGGTGAGTTAAACAAAAGGGCAGCCTGTCCACCCTCCTCCCTTATAAGTCCTGGAGCAGTGACTGCCCTGAGCCAGGGTCTCTCTCTCTCAGCGGAAGTCAGGGTCACTGCGGGTGGAGCCGCGCACGAGGGAGGGATGCAGGCTAGAGGTGAGAGCACACCACAGGTGCCAGGAGGTGGGGGCCAAGAAGTGCCAGGGAGTGGGTCAGCATGGAAAAAGAAGTTCAAAACCATAGAAGGGGCAGCTGGCAACAGCCCAGACCAAGTGAAGGACCCTCCATTCCCACCCTGGGAAGCCCCTCTCTCTTCCAGCCATCCCTCCCCATCCCCCGCCTCAACATGGTCCTTTCCAAATGTGCAGCTTCCAGCCCTTCTCCTGGTCAGTGTGCCCATTCATTCCTGAGACTTTATGGTCTTGGTCTCCACCCTGCCCAGAGTCAGAGGTGATGAAAGGCCATGATGGGCCCCTGCCCAGGGCAAAGATCACAGGGGCCTCTCCCAAGCCCACACCCAAACAGCCAAGGGGACACAGTATTTCTGATCACCCTTGTCTCCTCAGACAGGCCTGACTGCCCAAGATAGCAGGAACAGAAGGGTGCCATGAAAGCATGGACAGGCTCTGCTGTGTGCGTTGGCTATCAGGGTTTGGGGGTCTTGTAGGGGGGACTCGAGATCTTTGGCGAGGCCCAGCTTTACCCATTCTTGCAAAGGGTGGCTGACCAGGCGGCCCTAGCCCCGGGGCCACCCACCTTCCTGACCCAGCACCAGGGGTCTCATTCCTCCCTAAGCCCCCTGTGTAGAGGTCCCAGCAGTGGTGGGGGTGGGGAGAGCACAGATGATGAAACTCAGGGGCCCCCAGCCACTCCCCAACAAAATGGGTTCCTGCCAACCTCTGTGTTTTTATGAGGAACGTCATGGTCCCCAAGGGGACCCACAGATCTGCTCCTTCCTCCCTGGGAGACTCAGGTGCTCCCAGGATCCTCCTGCAGCACCATCTCTGGAAATCCCTGTTCTCCAATCAAGTGGAGACCACTGGGAGGTGAAAGGGAGACAGACAGAGAGCAGCTTCTTTTGCAATCAACTCTGTATTGTGTTCACATGGAGACCTGGAGATGTGCCGACCTCCTGTCCCCAAAGCAGATCTTCCTGACCAAGGAGATTGAGGATTTCAGGGCTCAGAGTTACCGAAGGAATGGAGGTGACACCCGGGAGAGAGAGGAGAGAAGGGAAAAAGGAGGGGATGGGAAAAGGCAGTATTGAGGGTGGAGGGGAGAGAGGTCTAGGGGAATGAGGAGGAGGGGAACTGAGGGGGCTGCCTTTCCTTGGGGATTGGGGAACTCATGCCCTGCCCCCACCCACGGGGCCCCATGGGTGAAAGAGATGGAGAATGGAGAATAGGGTGGTGGTGTGATGGAGGGAACAGCAGCTGGGGTATCCTAAAACACAGAGGCTATCTAGACATTGCCAGGGATGGGGGTGTGGGGAGAGGAGGGAAGATTTAGGGCTGGGACACTGGGATGGAGGAGGTAAGCATTCTCGGGGGAGGCTACCAGGAGGGAGAAGGGGAGAAGACCAAAACTGGGGGAGATGTAGGGCTGGAGGACTGGGGACAGGACGGATGAAGGAACGGGCTCAGAAGGGGAGAAAATACAAGGAATGAGAGCAAGAGACACATAAGGGAGTTTGATCTGGAGAGGGCAGGAAATGGGATGGGCTGCAGGCTGCCTCCAGGTTCAAGGTAAGAAAGAGGCAGTAGAGAATTGAAAGGGAAAATAAGAACCAGGGCCGGAGACCAGGTGAAGGACAAGAGAATTGGAGGATCCTAGAGAGGCAATGGAAACATGAGGGCTGAGATGGGAGGGCAGAGTGGGGCCAAGAATTGACCAAGGCCAAGCCCCTGTGGTTTTCACAACAACTGGGCGAGGTATCATACAGGAATGTTGTACCCATTTTTCAAGTGAGGAAACTGAGGCTCGTTACTGACTTGCCCAAGGTTCCACAGTGGAAGAGTCTGGACGTGAACTGGTTTCTAGGTGTATTTCAGCCAGGTTGGAAAGAGATGGATGTGATTTGGGGGAACAGTCTCTGTGCCCAAGAACAGCAGGAGCCTGGGCTGCACGGGTCCTAGGGCCGCCTCTTGAAATGGACGCAGTTCGGACCCTGTGTCCCAGGCAGGGCAGAGTGGGTGGTGAGGGGGCACCGCAGGGCTCACACTGAGGACGAGGTCATCTCCGGTCTCTTGATGTGCACCTGTCGCGGAGTTACAGTGAGGGACTGGAACAGGGAGCCACTTGTTTGGGAGGTCACTGCTGATGCAAGCCCAGCCCCCTCCCTGCCCTGGTGGTGCCTGGGGAGGGAATCTGGAATGGAGGCTGGAGAGTTCCTTGGGCCCCCCACTTTAGCCCCTCACCTTCATGGTGGTGTCCACGTTCTCCAAGTCCACATGGAAATTTTTATCCTTGTCTAGAGAGAGAGAGAAGGGAAGAGGAAGGAAACTGAAGAGAGAAGGGGAAGGAGGAGATTGGAGGAAGGCAGGGAGGGCATCTGTCCTCGCAGTGGTGCCCAGGAAAGCCCCTGCCCGCTTCCCCCGGGAGGCAGGACTCACCCGTTGTGTCGTCCTCCTCGAAGCCCAAGTTTGAAAAAGTGCCCACGACTTCCTCATCCCAGATCTCGAACCATTTCCTGTCCTGGTCCCAGGACCTAGGTGGGTGGGCGAGCGGTCAGGCAGGGCCGGCTGCCTGGGCCCCTTGCCCACCCTCGCCCTCCGGCTCCACCCGGCGGGCTCACCTGCCTCGGCGCTGGCCGCCCCCTCCTCGGGAGCGCACCACCAGGACGCCCAGCGCCAGCAGCAGCAGCAGCAGTAGGGCGGCGCCCGCCGCCAGGCCCCCGACCAGCGCCCTCCAGTGGATGGCCACCTCGCAGCGTGGGCCAGAGAACCAGTGCGTGTCCGTGGAGAAGCAGCTGTGGAAGGGAGCAAGGTGGATCCCTTCACCTCCCAGCTCGGGATCCACCTGTGCTCCTGGACCCCGCGGGGGCGGAAGAGGGGCGGGGCTCCACCTTAGGCCGGCGGCGGGGCGGGTTCCAGCCTAGGGCCAGGGGGGTGGGTTGCACCCTAGGCAAGGGAGCGGGGCTCCACACTAGAACTAGGGGGCGGGGCTCCACCTTAGAACCAGGGGGCGGGATTCTGCACTAGAACAAGGGGGTGGGGATCCACCCTAGAAGGAGGAGGCGGGGCTCCACGCTGAAACAAGGGGGCGGGGCTCTACCCTAGGGAGAGGGGTGGGACTGCATCCTAGGCAAGGAGGCGGGGCTCCACCTTAGGGCTATGGAGCAGAGCTCTGAGACAGGGCTCCTCCACCTTAGGGTAAGGGGGGTGGGCTTGGAGCAGGACTCTGGGGACCAGGCTCCACCACAGGGCCTGGGGGCAGAGCCGGAGTGGGGCATGGGGTGGGGTTTCATCCTGGAATGAGTGGGCGGGGCTCAGGCGAAGCTGATGGTGGGGCCTCACCGACAAGCAGGACCGCTCCTCTCCAGAATACACTGGCCCTGGTGACACTCGATGGCGTCGTCCACGCCCGACGTACATTTGGTGACGCAGCGGAGCCGGGTCGCCTCCACCAAGGGAAAGTAGAACTCCTCATAGCCTTTGGGAGCGGCGCGGCGGCAGATGGCTAGGGGGTTGGGGAGGGGGTTGCAGAGAGACAAGGACCTCATCCATTCTATCCAGGGGCCCGATTATGGTGCCTCTGAAAATGCGCGACCAGGACTCCATTTCCTGGTGGGGTGCCATGGGGTAGACCCTGGGATTAGATGAGGGGAGGCCTGCCCCATCACCCTCACCCTCTCCTCGTGGCCCCTGCTGTCCTCAGGTGGAAGCCACTAACCAGCGCAGGAAGGGCTGCCCTGAGTCACATCACTTGCCTCCGTCGAAGGCCTCTCCCTGCCCCCCCAGCTTCAATGGGCAAACGTCCCTGGTGGCAGGAGTCATGGAAGACCACTCAGCCCTTTACGCCACCCTCACCTTTCGGAGTCAGCTCTGTCCTGCTGCCGTTGTTCACCTTGATGGAGTCAGGCTTAAAGCACAGGGCTGCGGGAACACAGGCACAGATGGAATGGAAGGGGCAGGTCAAGGGGTTAAGATCAAGGGGTTAGGGCCAGAAATCAGGACAGGCACAGGGAGGGCAGCGAGGGCTCTCTCCTTCTGGAGGAGTGTGGAGGGGCCACGAAGGAAGACTCCTGTTCCCTCCCTCATCTCATCCAGGAAACGCAGGTCCTGGGGAGACCCTCCCGAGCCCCACCCTTGACGCTGTTGTGTGTGGACTCGTGCCCCTTCTCCCCACCTGCCAGAGGTACCACAGGGATGGCACCTGAGCCCAGAGGCCCCTGGCTGAGCTGGAGTGGGCTGGGGTAGCGGCTCTGGCCTGGCCCCTCCCTCCAGCCCAGGCTCACTCTGGGAGTCCTGGCAGCTGTCCGAGTTCTGGCTGGCGTTCTGCAGCCCCTCCTTCAACACCATCTTCACCTGCTCGTACTCGCTCTCTAGCTGCGGGCTGAAGGGCATCTCCAGCAGAACCAGGTAGTCCACCACGATGCTGCCATTCCTGAGGGGGCCGCAGACTTAGAGAGTGCCCCATGGGCACTGACGTGCACCAGAGGGGAAAGGGGGCAGAGGTCATGGTATCCTTTTCAGAAGAGGCTGCCAGCATCCCTGACTTGGTCAGCCTGGGAAGGCAGGACAAGGAATGATTGACCTACTCTCTCTCTGTTTTTTAGAGACAAGGTCTTCCCTTGTCATCCAGGCTGGAGTGTAGTGTTGTAATTTTAGCTCACTGCAGCCTCTAACTCCCCGGCTCAAGTGATCCTCCCTCCTCAGCCTCCCAAGTATCTGAAATTACAGATATGCACTACCAAGCCTAGCTAATCATTTTATTATTGCTATTATTATTGTAGAGATGGATTCTCACTATGTTGTCTAGGCTGGTCTTGAACTGATCTCAGGCGATCCACCCACCTCGCCCTCCCAAAGTGCTAGGATTACAAGTGTGAGCCCCAACATCCAGCCTGACGTTCTCTTTGTGTTGTATCACGCCATCGTCCACCAGGCGCCCCTGGGTGCACTCTCTCTTCCTCTCTCTTTCTTTTTCTCTCTCTCTAATGCGGACCCACCCAGTAGAGCAGGGGCAAGGCAGAGGGAGACGAAGTCACCAATCCAGACACCACCTTCCCACATGTCCCTGTAACTTCTCTCCCTCCAGTGTGCTGAAGAAGAGAGGCACCACCCCTCCTCCAGAGAAATAGCCCCAGAAAACGATCTCAAAAAATACCCCAAGGAGTGATTCTTTGTGTACCCCCTCCATCCCCCTCCACCCCTCTCTTTATAAAACCTGATGATTACAAAAGCAAGGAATGTGTTCTTTCTGTGCACATTGCCCCACGCAGCGCCGCCTCCACAGCCCCAGACGGGTCCCCTACCTCAGGGACAGGATCTCCACACCCTTGAAGGTGAAGCCCTGCACGCCTGCGTAAATTTTCTGCATCTGGAACACCAAGGACCCCAGGGCTCAAGTCTTGAACCTGCGGGCCTGAGGGCACCCACACGCCCAACCTCACACCCAGGGGAGAACCTTAAATTCCCCTCCCCCTGCCCCTTACCTGATTCCAGAAGGTGTTGTTGAAATCCCTGTAGGCCTGGGAAGTGTTGTCGTTGAGGTCGGAGGAGAACTCCTGGTCGACAGACACTTCCATGGCCACCTCGGTCTCCACTGAGTCTGCACACAGCATGCATGTCCCTAGTCACTTCTCCGTCTGGTTTTGTCTGACACCACTACCACCTCCACCTCCTCCCAACCCACAGGCTCCTCCTGCTGCTCCTCTCCAAGATCCCTGAGGACTGATGCACAGAGGCAGGAACAGAGGTGGGAATTCAAGGATGCATTAGGCCTCAGGAGGCTGAGGCAGGAGAATCGCTTGAACCCAGAAGGCAGAAATTGCTGTGAGCTGAGATTGTGCCACTGCACTCAGACCTAGGTGACACAGCAAGACTCTGTCAAAAAAAGGAAAGAAGGAAAGGGGGGGGATTGTGTGGAGATGAGGGGAAGCAGGCAGGAACACAGCGGTGAGCCTGTGGTCCCTCCCATTTACCCCCGCGGTGGGCGGGTGTCTGTGTCCTAATCCCCAGAACGGTGAGTATGCTGTACTACATGGCAAGGGAGGATCAAGGGTGCAGATGGAATTCGATTGCTAATCAGCCTAACTCTTTTTTATTGTTGAGATGGGGTCTCATTCTGTCGTCCAGGCTGGAGCACAACAGTGTGACTGGATCATAGCTCACTGCAGCCTTGACCTCCAAGCCTCAATTGATCCTCCTGCCTCAGCCTCCTGAGTAGCTGGGACCATAGGGACATGCCACCATGCCCAGGTAATTTTTAAAAAATATTTTTTTTGTAGAGATGGGGTCTCACTGTGTTGTCCAACCTGGTCTTGAACTCCTGGCCTTAAGCAATCCTCCCCCCATGGACATCCAAAATGCAGGGATTACAAGACAATCAGCTGATTTTTCTTTTTTTCTTTTCTTTTTTTTTTTTTGAGACAGTCTCGCTCACTCTGTCATCCAGACTGGAGTGCAGTGGTGAAATCTCAGCTCACTGCAACCTCCACCTTCTGGGTTCAAGAGATTCTCCTGCCTCAGCCTCCTGAGTACTAGGATTACAGGTACCTACCACCATACCTGACTAGTGCTTATGCTTATAATAGAGATAGAGTTTCACCACATTGGCCAGGCTGGTCTCAAACTCCTGACCTCAGGTGATCTGCCCGCCTCTGTCTCCCAAAGTGCTGGGATTACAGGCGTGAGCCACGTGCCTGGCCTAATCAGCTGATCTTGTAAAAATTAACATGGACAATTCAGGGAGGATCCAAAGTCCTCACAGAGTCCTTAACAGTGGAAGAAGCAATAGCGGAGCCCAGAGTCCATCAGAGGGAGCCCAGAGCCCATCAGAGGGAGATGAGGCTATGGGAGAAAGACCCAGAGGGATGCAGGCTTGCTGGCTTGGAAGATGGAGCCAGGGACCCTGGCACATGCAACATGGGAGGCTCCAGAAGTTGCAAAGGGCAAGGAAGTGGATGCTTCCCTGGAGCCTCTGGAAGAGAACACAGCCCTGGTGACGCCTGGATTTCAGCCCAGTGACACCCACGTCGGACTTCTGATCTACAGAATTGTAACATGGTAACGTCGTGTTGTTTCAGCAGCCAGGGTTGTGTGTGTTGGTGCAGCAGCAGTTGGAAACGGATATATATCCAAGCAACCCAAGTCAAGAAATGGGCTTAGGAGGGAATGTGGTTCCCAGCCACCTCTTAAGGGTGAGGACACAGGGCAGTGGAGGGCATGGGAGAGATGGCAGGGAGGGAAGGATTGGGCAAAATGGCATGGGTGCCTCCAGGTCGCACACAGGGATAAGTCTGGGGAAGTGCAGAAGGCAGAGCTCTGGTGACTCACCTACATCCACCTGTTCCACAGCAAACTCACAACTGGAACCATAGAAGGTGCTGGGACACTGGCACTTGAGGCCATCCCAACGACCCCCATTCTGGCATGTGTTCTGGAGCTGACAGCGGTCCCCAGAGAACCCCGGACGGCAAACACACTGGCCCTGTTCCCAGGTGCCATCATTGTCACAGGTGCCTGGGAAACATGGGAAGAAAAGGAAGGTCAGGATACAGCCTGACCTCAGTGACACAGGAATTTTGCAGGGGAGGGAGGAGGCAGAAGAGGGAGGCAGAAGGTCCAACCTGCAGTGGTGGTCAGCCTTGACTGTGTGGTCATCTGGGAAGTGACGGGAGTTGTCCTGCGTGATGTGAGGGTGGTAGGTGTCTGGGTAGTGGTCACTGGTGTCTCTGAAGTCCTGGTGGTGTGTGGGGAGGAGTGTGTTGACTTGCTTGAAGTCCTCAGGACAGTCGGAAGGCTAGTGCTTGGTTTCGTGGCAAGTGGGATGGTAGAGACTCCAGGAAGAGGTGGGGGGATTATGGAGCTGGTGCTCAGCCAGGTCTCACTGATGGGCATTTGAGTACTTGTGAAAACTGTGCTTGTAGGTACAGTCCCAGTGCCTGTGGAACTGGAAGCATTGGTTGCGATGCTGGGCAAACTTCCTGGAGTCACGGAAGAAGTGTCCATATACGTAGGAAGGGCAGTTCGCAGACTGATGGAGCTGGGACTGGTGACCATTTCAGTGGTAAAGGGAAAGACGATTAATGGGATGGTGGTGGAAGTAGCTTGAGTGCTGGGATCCATTTCAACACACGGATCAGTGGGAGAGGCTGGGACTATTGTAATTGTTATAGTTTCTGGACAGGGTGTGGTGGAGGGAAGAGAAATATAAGAAAAGGGGGTTATTTCAGTGAGAGTTGTGGTCAGAGAGGAGCTGGTTGGAGACAGGCTGGCAGTTGCAGAGGAAGAGAGAGTAGGAAAGGCTGTGACAGAAGAGGAACTCACATTTTCTGTGCTGAAAATGTGTGGTGAAGAAGGGGCAGAACGAGTGGTAGTGGAGAACGCTGGAGTCATGCTGGCGGAAGACGGAGAAGAGGACATTATGGTAGTGGGTGTTGAGGACCAGATGATGGCACTGAAAGGAGTCACGACTGCATTTGTAGATGTCCTTCCCCTAGTGAAAGATTCCGTCGCAGACTCACTTGGAGACGTGAGTGAAGTTTGCACGGGGAGGGCTGAAGGACTTGTTTTAAGGGTGGGTGAATGTGTGCTAGTAACAGGCGCCTCTGATGTTGACATGATGGTGCTCAAGGTTGCTGATGGAGGAAGAGTATCAAGAGCGGACGTGAAGGAATCCGTGCTGCCAAAGCTGAGAGTGGTAGGTACAGGGGACGTTTGTGTCCCGGTGGCAGAGGTCAGTACAGGAGGGGTATGCGTTGGGGTTTCAGGTGTAACCAGAATACTGGTACTAAGGGAACTGATTGGGGTGTTTTCAGTAACTCCGAGGGTCGTTCTCATGGTGGAAATGGTGGGAGAGGGTGTGCTCACAAGGGATGAGCTTTCTGTATTTGAGATGGAGGGAGAAGATGAAATGATGTGTGTTGGGGATGGTGAGGTACTGACATCAGTGGGTGTAGAGGGAAGGTGTGTAGCTGTAGTCGAGGAAGTGCTGGCACCCAAAGATGAGGGCGCAGCAGTTATTAGTGTTGTGGTGGGGATGTCTGTACTCCAAGAAGATGGAGTTACAGCTGTGGAGGTCACCCCAGTCTCCAAGGAAGTGGGAGTTAAGGTGATGGCAGTTGTGAATGTGCTGGCTGTGGAGTAGATGGTCGAGTAAGTGAAGCTGGGAGTACTGTGTGAGGTGGTCTCGGTGGTGGGGATTGAAGATATGAAGCTGGGAGTACTCTGTGAGGTTGTCTCAGTGGTGGGGATTGAAGAGGTGAGGCTGGGAGTACTGTGTAAGATGGTCTCAGTGGTGGGGATTGAAGAGGTGAAGCTGGGAGTACTGTGTGAGGTGGTCTCGGTGGTGGGGATTGAAGAGGTGTAGCTTGTAGTACTGTTTGACGTGGTCTCCGTGGTGATTGTTGAAGGGATAAAGCTGGGAGTAGTGTGTGAGGTGGTCTTGGATATGGTGATTGAAGAGGTGAAGCTGGGAGTACTGTGTGAGGTGGACTTGGTGGTGAAGATTGAAGAGGTGTAGATGGGGGTACTCTGCGAGGTGGTCTTGGTGGTGGGGATGGAAGAGGTGTAGCTGGTAGTACTGTTTGAGGTGTTCTTGGTGGTGGTTGTTGAAGAGGGAAAGCTGAGAATAGTGTGTGAGGTGGGCTCAGTGGTGGGGATTGAAGGAGTGAAGCTGGGAGAACTGTGGGAGGTGGTCTCAGTAGTGGAGATAGAAGAGGTGAAGATGGGAGTACTGTGTGAGGTGATCTTGGTGGTGAAGATTGAAGACATGAAGCTGGAACTACTGTGGGAGGTGGTCTTGGTGATTCGTACTGAAGAAGTGAACCTGGGACTAGTGTGTGAGGTGGTCTCAGTGGTTGGGATTGAAAAGGTGAAGCTGGGAGTACTGTGTGAGGTGGTCTCAGTGGTGGGAATTAAAGAAGTGAAGATTGGAGTACTGTGTGAGGTCGTCTCGCTGGTGGTGACTGAAGAGGTGAACCTGGGAGTCTTAGTGGTGGGGATTGAAGATGTGATACTGGGAGCACTGTGTGAGGTGGTGTTGGTGGTAGGAATGGAAGAGATGAAGCTGGGAGTAGTGTATGAGGTGGCCTCAGTGGTGGGGATTGAAGATGTGATACTGGGAGTACTGTGTGAGGTGGTGTCAGTGGTAGGAATGGAAGAGTTGAACTTGGAAGTACTGTATGAGGTGGTCTCAGTGGTGGGGATTGAAGATGTGATACTGGGAGTACTGTTTGAGGTGGTGTCGGTAGGAATGGAAGAGATGAAGCTGGGAGTAGTGTATGAGGTGGTCTCAGTGGTGGGGATTGAAGATGTGATACTGGGAGTACTGTTTGAGGTGGTGTCGGTGGTAGGAATGGAAGAGGTGAAGCTGGGAGTAGTGTATGAGGTGGTCTCAGTGGTGGGGATTGAAGATGTGATACTGGGAGTACTGTGTGAGGTGGTGTCAGTGGTAGGAATGGAAGAGGTGAAGCTGGTAGTGTATGAGGTGGTCTCGATGGTGGGGATTGAAGAGGTAAATCTGGGAGTAGTGTGTGAGGTGGTCTCTGTCGTGGGAATTGAAAAGGCAAAGTTTGGAGTTCTTTGCCAGGTGCTCGAGGTGGTGGACATTGAAGAGGTGAAGCTGGGAGTACTGTGAAATGTCGTGTCGGTGGTAGGGACTGAAGAGGGGTAGCAGGGAGTACTGTGTGTGCTGGTCTCAGTAGTCGTGATTGAAGAGATGAAGCTGGGTGTAGTGTGTGAAATGGTCTCAGTTGTGGTGATTGAAGATGTGACGCTGGGAGTACAGAGTGAGGTGGTCTCCATGGTAAAGATTGAAGAGGTAAAACTGGCAGTAGTGTGTGTAGTGGTCTCAATGATGGTAATTGGAGAGGTGAAGCTGGACTTAGTGTGTGAGGTAGTCTCAGTGGTGGGGTTTGAAGAGGTAAAGCTGGGACTACTGTGTGAGGTGGTACCGGTGGTGGGGATTGAGGAGGTGAAACCGTAAGTACTGTGTGCGGGGGTCTTGGTGGTCGGGATTGAAGAGGTGAAGCTGGGAGTACTGTGTGAGGTGGACTCGGTGGTGGGTATTGAAGAGGTGAAGCTTGGAGTATTGTGTGAGGTAGTCTTGGAGGTTGTGGTTGAAGAACTGAAACTGGGAGTACTGTGTGAGGTGGTCTCGGTGGTGGGGATTGAAGGGGTGAAGCTGGAAGTGCTGTGTGAAGTCATCTCGGTGGTGAAGATTGAAGAGGTGATGCTGGGAGTACTGTGTGCAGTGGTGTCAGTGGTGGGTAAAGAAGAGGTGAAGCTGGGAGTGCTGTGTGAGGTGGTCATGGTGGTGAAGACTGAAGAGGGGAACCTTGGAGTAGTATATGAGGTTGTCTCAGTGGTGGGGATTGAAGATGTGAAGCTGGGAGTACTTTGTGAGGTGCTCATGGTGGTAAAGACTGAAGAGGTGAAGCTGGGAGTACTGTGTGAGGTGGTCTCGGTGGTGGCGATTGAAGATGTGAAGCTGGGAGTACTGTGGGAGGTGGTTTTGATGGTGGATGTTGAAGAGGTAAAGCTGGGTGTAGTGTGTGAAGTGGTCTTGGTTGTGATGATTGAAGAGGTGAAGCTGAGGGTACTGTGTGAGATTGTCTCAGTTGTTGGAATTGAAGAGGTAAAGCGGGGAGTACTAAGTGAGGTGGTCTCTGTGGTGAAGATTGCAGAGGTGAAGCTGGGAGTACTGTGTGATGTGGTCTCTGTGGTGGGTACTGAAGAGGTGAACCTAGGTGCAGTGGGTGAAGTGGTCTTGGCTGTGATGATTGAAGAGGTGACGCTGGGAGTACTGTGTGAGATTGTCTCGGTTGTGGGAATTGAAGAGGTAAAGCGGGGAGTACTAAGTGAGGTGGTCTCTGTGGTGAAGATTGCAGAGGTGGGGCTGGGAGTACTGTGTGACGTGTTCTCTGTGGTGGGTACTGAAGAGGTGAAGCTGGGCGTAGTGTGAGAGGTGGTCTCTGTGGTGGGGATTGGAGAGGTAAAGCTGGGAGTAGTGTGGGAGGTCGTCTCAGTGGTGGGGATTGAAGAAGTGATGCTCATAGTAGTGTGTGAGGTGGTCTTCGTGGTGAGTTTTGAAGACGTGAAGCTGGGAGTACTGTGTGCGATTGTCTCTGTGATGGGGATTGAAGAACTGAAGTTGGAAGTGGTGTGTACAGTGGTCTCGGTTGTGAAGATTGAAGAGGTGAAACTAGGAGTACTCTGTAAGGTGGTTTCAGTGGTGGCTATTGAAGAGATGAAGCTGGGAGTACTGTCTACGGTGGTATCAGTGGTGGGTATTGAAGAGGCGAAGCTGAGAGTACTGTGTGAGCTGGTCTCAGTGGTCGGGATTGAGGAAGTGAAGCTGGGAGTACTCTGTGAGGTGGTCTCAGTGGTGGGTATTGAAGAGATGAAGCTGGGAGTGCTGTGTGAGGTGGTCTCGGTGGTGGGTATTGAAGAGGTGAAGCTGGGAGTGCTGTGTGAGCTGATCTTGGTGGTGCTGATTGAAGAGGTGAAGCTGGGAGTGC